CGCTTTTGTTGCCGGCGGCAGCCGAAAACCAAACACAGTCACAGAAGGACATCCAGTACAATACACACATGAAGTTGTGGACACCCGCGTTCAAGAAAAATTATTTCGGATGGGAACAGATACAAAAGAAATCTATTAACACCTTTCAAAGGAGGGAATTTTTAATTTGTGAGAGGAGATTAGAAGAATTGGCTTATTCATGATAGCAAAATAATTTCTGATATGTCTGCTACCTATGAAAACAGGGAAGAAGTAAACATCAGGGAAAGAAAAGAGCTATTTAAAGATAAAATCGACAAAACAATTAATAGTTAGAAAATTATTTTATGAATAAATTCAGACAGTTAATCCAAAGACCATTCCAAATCATGAAATGGATGAAACTCTATATCTTTGTGCTTCCGTAAGAGCAGTGGATGTAAAAACCAGACTGCTTTTAAGACAGAATGTGATAAATAAAAAAATGGGAGTATATGAAGTGGTGACGTAAGGGTTTTGTCCAGGAGGTCCTGGCAAGTCGTACGTATATCTTATGGTCCTAGAGGAAGGGCTTATGTTTGACGACTGCTCAGCTGTCAGGTGACATAACTCAATCCACTGGAGAAACCAGAGGTGAAAAAACATTCGTTACATGGAATTGCAAGAGACTGCTCCTCACAGGCAGATATTAGTGAACTGTATCCCACTCATCTATATTGTCTTGAGTTTGTTATCGGAATTAAATTAATTTGGAAGACTCATGGCTTTTTTGAGTAATTTTCATAATCTTAGCCACAGCAATTACTGGCAATTGACTGTATATTCTGCAGTGCACTTCCGTCAGATTGTAGGGAGATTGTATATGACAAGAAAAAATGTGATACAACTTCTACTTACCTGCTTTCTCATACTTGCAAGCTGGGCCAAACCATAGTGTGAACATTGACATACATTGTACAAATTGTGAAAAGAGAAAAAACCTCCTAGTTTCAGAAGGCAGGAAAGTCAGAAAGGGAAGATGTGCTTGTCTCCATCATTCTGCCTAGAAAGGCTGTTAAATATTTGTGATTTTTTTTTTGTAAGCATTTTTGCTCCATGTCTCCTAGTAATGTGCTGGAGATGCGTCATCTGAGCAGAGTCAGACAAAAGGATGACTAGGATATTGGTGACATGAGATGTCTTCTCTACATTAGTTCTCCAGCTACTAGTGGAACTGAGAGGCAGAAATTTCAGTGACTGAAAGGTTAACAAATACACCTGCTGTGGGTTAATACTCATAGGCAGCTAAGCTTCACACAGCTTGATCAGCACTCTGCAGCTGCTTGTTAAGTTTCCCACAGCAGGATGGGGAGAAATGGAAGGGCAAAAGTGAAGAAACTCAAGTGTCAGGATCAAGACAGTTTAATAAGTGAATAAAAACAAACAAGCAAGCAAACAAACAAACAAGTGATGCAAAAGCAGTCATTCACCACCAGCTGACCAATGCTCAGCCAGTCCCTGAGCAATGGTCACCTTGGAAAACTCCTTCCCCTATTCCTCCTTCATCCCCAGATTTTACTGCTGAATGTGATGTTATATGCTATAACATATTCCTTTGGCTAATTCAGGTCCAGTGCTTCAGTCCTGTCCCCTCCCAGCCTCTTGCCCACCTCTAGCTGACTCACTCAGGCAGCATAGTGAGAAATAAGAGAAGGCCTTCATGCTGTGTCAGTGCTGTTCAGTGACAGCAAACAAACACTGGTCTGTTACTACCACTCTCTGGTCACAAATCCAAAACATAGCACCATATGGGCTGCTACGAAGAAAAACAACTCCATTCCAGACAGACCCAGTACAATATCCCATTGCTAAAAGAAAAGACAAAGCAAAACATTCCAGTGCTAATGCGTAAGTAGATCCTTTTTCATTCCAATGGGATTTGCTCTCCTTCAGTGAGGGATTAGTTAGACGAGGAATTAATTTCTGATTTTCTGAGCTCTCATTTTAATACATTTCTATTCCAGTGATTATTTTGTTGCAAAGAGGTAGTAAGTTGATGTTTATGCCACTTAGCATGTGATGCAATACCTGCATTTGTCTACATCATGTACTAAACCTAGTGAGGCTTTATCATGGGTAGGCTAAACTTTTATTATGCTTATGTGCTTATGAATCCAGAAATACGACAGTTCTCACATTTACACCATTAAGTTGCTTCTACTACTCTCTTGCACCAGCCCCAATGACCCTTGTGGGACAGTAAAATACTGCCAAAACGATGCCTGTTATAATCTTACAGAAAATTTTGCTTCTGCTATTTTAACTAAAATTGCACTGAACAGCAAACAGGAAAGACAAGATTACCTTCCTCAAAGGACAACTGAATTTTGAAATACCTCAGTTTCTATTTCTGGCAGAGCTAAATCTGGGAGGAAGCTGAATGGAAGCTTCTGTATTTTTCTCTGTTGCAACCTGTACAGATTCATATAACGGGGTTCTTACCATATATAGCTTGTCTGCCACCTGTGAGAAAGATGCAGGTGGTTCAGCCATCATTTGAAGACAATGATGTGTCCAAGGGAGACTCTAGGGTTTATGCAAAATACTGTGTGATTTGGTGGCTGCTAATATTGGTCATCAAATTGCATCTTCCGCTGACAACAGCAAGTTCTCAGGGAAAAAAACATGGGGCTTTTGATTCCCTACGTTTCTTCTCTGTCCTTTTCTGAGGAAGTGCCATCTGGCCTCTGGTAAGGTTTTCCACATGTTGCAAAAGGTGAAAAGCTCTAAAACACCTGTTGCTTTGGAGGCAGTTTAACTAAGCATTAGTGCCTTAAGGATAAGTTCACTGTTATGACACTATGTTGAGCACTTGAGATGTACTGTGAAGAGATTTTCTCCAGCATCATCCAAGTCCCATGAAACACCAGATTGGTTTTTAAAATTTGATCATAAATAGAAGACTGATATTGTGAATCTCGGGTATGTCTCATCTTGATTTGCGAACACATAGTCTGCTTTGGGAACCTGTTGACACAACATGCTGCTCTCTGCTGATTTACAGCTGCTGAATTGCATTTAAGTTTCTTATTTCTGCTTTTCTTTTTGAATGCTGTATGCCATCATTAGTTAGAGGGGCATAATGCAGCAATATCACTGATTAGAGGGGAATATTGCAGATGACACCAAACTGAGTAGTACAGTTGATGCACTTGAGGGAAGGGATGCCGCTCAGGGGGACCTTGACAGGCTTGAGGAGTGGACCCACGTGAACCTAATGAAAGTTAACAAGGCTGAATGCAAGGTCCTGCACCTGGGCTGGGACAATTTCCAATATCAATATAGACTTGGGGATGAATGGATTGAGATCAGCCCCACAGGGAAGGACTTGGGGATACTGGTGGATGAGACACTAGATATGAGCTGGTCATTTGCACCTGCAGCTCAGAACGCTGATAGTATCCTGGACTGCATCAAAAGAAGCAAGACCAGCAGGTCAAAGGAAGTGATTCTCTCCTTATACTCCATGCTTGTGAGACTCTCCCTGGAGTCCTGCATACAGTTCTGGGGCTGCCAGTACAAGAAAGACGTGAATCTGTCAGAATGGGTCCAAAGGAGGGTCATGAAAATGGTTGGAGGGCTGGAACACCTCTCCTATGAGGAAAGGCCGAGAGAGTTGGCATTGTTCAGCCTGGAGAAGAGAAGTCTCTGGGAAGACCTCGTTACAACCTTTCAATATATAAAGCAGGCTTGTAAGAAAAATGGGTACACACTGTTTAGTAAGGACTGTTGTGACAGGACAAGGACTAGCAGTTTTAAACTAAAAGAGGGTGGGTTCAGACTAGATATAAGGAAGATTTTTTTATGGTGAGGGTGATGAGACAGTGGAACAGGTTTCCTAGAGAAGTTGTGGATGCTTTATTATGGAAAGTGTTCAAAGTCAAGTTGCACAGGGTATTGGACTAGATGACATGGTCCAGATGAAGTTTGCCTGGAGAAGTAATGGAGGCCCCATCCCTGGAAACGTTCAAAGCCAGGCTGGACAGCATTCTGAGCAACCTGGTCTAATTAAAGACATCCCTGCTCACTACGGGGATGTTGGGCTAGATGACCTCTAAAGGTCACTTCCAACCCAAAGCATTCTATAAACCTACAATCTTTAAAATCCCTTTCAACTGAAACCATTTTGTGATTCTGTGATTCTATGATTATGCATATAATACAACAGCACAGCAGTCCATAGAATGTTTTCATTTTGTTCTGTATGTATTTAAGGATCTCTTTGCTAACACATCAACTATTTGATACTTTCAAATTCGTTACTTCCCTCCCCTTTGACTATGTCACATTATAATTTGCATTTTTTCAGTATAATACCTTTTTGCATTTTAATGATATTTCTAAACCTATTTTTACTGAAGATATGTAATGCTACAAATCAAAGAAACAGAAAGTACAATGTTACTAAGTGTGGCCTAGAGTAGGATAAGGGCCTTAAAATTAAGCTGAAAAGGATGATAAATTGCAATAGAGAAAATAACATGCTCACATCCATTGTCTTTTATAATCAAAAGTATGCAACGCTGAATACCAAAGACAGAATTCTTGATGTAGTAAGCTTAGTAGGTGTGATTGTTGCCAATGAACAGGTTCTATAAAAAATACTAAGATGTTTTTCAGTTAAGAAGTTTTCTAAAGTGGCCAAAGCAAAAGCCAACTTCTCTAGTTTCAGCTGAGGCCTATAGGTATCTCATCCCTGGTAGAAACAAGATCTTTGAGAGTCTTTGCTGCATCCTTTCAAACTCTTGTCAAAACCATTGCTAATTAAGGGAGGTCCATATGCGTGCAACACAACACTGCCACCCCCCTCTCAATGTTAGTGGCCACTGAAGAAAATATTTATTAATCTCTTACTCATAATCACATTAAGGAGTTTTTTCTTTGCTGAATGGAGTATGCCTTTTGTTTTCACTTTTGCCCTTCATGTTTTGTTTTTTTTTTTTTCCTCCCAAGCACTCATTTTAATTATCTTTCCCTCACAGGCTGCTTAAAAAACCTCAAAGTGCTCAATGTGAGTTTCAATAATTTGAAGTCAGTCCCTCCAGAAGTGGGTGATTGTGAGAATCTGGAAAAACTGGATTTGTCTGGAAATCTGGAAATAACAGAGCTCCCATTTGAAGTAAGATAACAGACTATGTTTCTTCCATCTTCTTTATTTGGCTTATAAAGTATTTTATCACAGTCTTAAAATCTATTCTTAACAGATTAAATCACATTCCTCACAGTTTTTAGCAATAAAGTTTTATCGGTAATATCACTGAAAATGCCTTATCAGCACTTAAATTGGACCAAACGTCTTTGTTTTAGTTTTCAGGTGACTAAATTTTACTTGTATTTTTTTCTGATATATGAAGGAGCACATGATCCCAAAGGGGATATGACCAGTGATGACAAGGAGAAGGCCGCAAATAGTTATTTTCTGTGAAAGTGAAGTGCATCTTGACAGTCAAATTCACATGCTAACCTTCATTTTTTCCCAGTGTCTCTTTTCCTTTAAACAGACGATGGAGAGTTCTATAAACAACACTGCATGTTGCTATGAGCATAAATATCTGTCTGCAAGGGATATTACGTGTGAGGCATGTTATGAATATACAAGAAAGGCTGAGAAAAGGACTCCCAGGCATGCCCCAACATTGCTTCTTCTGTGGAATGCATAACTTTTCTCTGCTACAGCTGCTCTGAGACTTCTTGTTCACAGAGAAATGAAACTATTGGCTGGTACCTAAACACAGTTTCAGATGTCATTTGTTTTTCTCTGGTTCTTAATACCCCGATTCCTGGGGGATGGGCGGGGGGACCTTTAGGAAGAAGTGTCAGGCTCTTCTTTACTGATTCCTACTTTTTCTCTGAACTTGTTTTAGATGTTATGTTTACAGGAAATATTGGAGTGGATTAAACTTACGTGAGATCTGGTTTGGCCATGCTCGTGTTTTGTTCTGAGTAATTGCAAACAGTAATTATCTTTCCCTTCTGACTTTTCACTGTAAGGTAGTTTATCTGAAAAGAATTGTCAGAAAATTATGTGAAGGAAACAGAAACAAAGGGTGAACATTAGCTTCACATCATTAGTAGACACTGCATAGAAATGCTAGCAATAGCACAAACAGTACTGGTCTACTTTCCCCTCCTTTTCCTCCTCCTTCAGATAACAAAGACAGGGGACAAACCAGATAAAACTTAACTGGTAAAAAAGAACCATAATGGAACCAGGAGAACATATATCCTGAACAGGCAAAGGAATTAAATATAAGCATCTATGAAAAGTGAGTACATTCAAAACTGTGGACTAGAATGGTGAATTTAGCCCCAGTCACTGGCATGTTAAAATTAATAACTGTTTTCCCCGCTTCTTCTAAAGGCCTTGTAGTGCAAAAACTTACCCATGTCTATGTGTTATGGGTAGCCTTTGCATGTGTCCTGGATTTGTCTGGAATAGGGTTAAATTTCACAAGAAGCTGGGAGGGCTGACCCAAACCTATACCAGACAAACCCAGGACAGCATGTGAACCTAACTGTGCATGTAAGTATCTCCAAGACTGAGTCCTAAGAGACCACTGAATCACAGAATGAGAATCACAGAATGGTGGGGGTTGGAAGGGACCTCTGTGGGTCATCTAGTCCAACCCCCCTGC